AGACAGGAAAGGAGTGATGGGGAGAGTGTGGGGTAGATCATAGATCATAATGGTGCATGTGGTTGGATACTAGGAGGGTGTGAGTGGGGGAGATAGGATGTATTTGGGAGGAGATGAGGAGGTTGTTTGTGGGGGAGATGGTGTGGGTGTGTTTGTGGGAAAACAGTGTGTGTGTATAAGGGGGGAATGCGACAGGTAGGGTGTGTTTGGGGGAGACAGATGGAATGTGTGAGCAAAGCTGGAATGGTGAATAGGTTTTTGCAATGTGTGTAGAGTATGTGTCGAGAAAATGGTTACAGTAATGTGACGAGAGAGGAAGGTATGTTGTGGGGTTTATTGGAGAGGGTGTATGTTTGGGGGAAACCTAGCAGGTGTGTGTGTGTGGGCAGACATGGATACTGTGTGTGGGGGAGATGAGGAGTGTTTGTGGGGGGTAGATGTGGAGGGTGTGGGGAGGATACAGGGTGTACTCACCTATTTGTGCTTGCAGGATCGAGCATTGACTCTTGGATCCCGCCTTTCCAGCTATCGGTTGTTTACAGCAATGACTCCTGTCCCATTTCCCTATCATACCTAGTTTTAAAAGTATGAATAGTATTTGCTTCCACAACCTGTTCCCCAAGTGCATTCCATTTTTCCACTACTCTCACGCTAAAAGAAAACTTCCTAACATCTCTGTGACTCATCTGAGTTTCCAGTTTCCACCCATGTCCCCTCGTTCTGTTATTATTGTGTGTGTGTGTGTGTGTGTGTGTGTGTGTGTGTGTGTGTGTGTGTGTGTGTGTGTGTGTGTGTGTGTGTGTGTGTGTACCTGGAGAGGGTTCTGGGAGTTCTACTCCCCAAGCCCAGCCTGAGGCCAGGCTCGACTTATGATAACTTGACCCAACAGGATGTTGCTTGGGGCGGTCCGCAGTTGTGTTTAGGGGGAGATGGGATGGGTGTGTGGGGAGACAGGAGAGTATGTGTGGGATAGGGGACGACAGGGAGGGTGTACATGGGAGAAGATAGGGAGAGCGTGTGCGGGGGTGATGAAGATTGTGTGTGGAAAGATATTCACACTTTATTTCACTTTAGCAATGGGTTCTCAATATTACTGCCATACCAACAATATACAGTATAACAAACCCCATGATGCAGCACGCTTGGCCCAACCATGGCCACACTAAGCCCACGATGGCCCACATTTAACACACTAATTACCCTAGCCACGTGCTATAATTCGCACTACAACACTGCACTTTGTGTTGGATCCCAATTATTTATTAATACTGTCATGCTTCTTAGACGTCTCTCCTTGCAGGAATTTGTAAAGATATCAAACCCTATGTGCCCCACAATGGCCTAGTCCCTGTAATTAACTTTGAATCCTCTGACCTGGTTTCACCTGACCTATCCTTCCCAACTGTAATAAACACTTTTGTCACCACTAACCTGACGTCTACCAATCCTCTACCATTTCCCCACTAACTTAACCAGTAACACACTCCCTTGAACTCTCAGTGTTCCAAAACCTGTTTTTGCTGCCACCAAATTTGTTGTGATGCCCTGCCAGGTTTTATAATTTACATTATACAGTATAAGACTATCATTGGTGAGGTGGTCACAGTACTGTAATTACCTAAGTGTAATTGCCAAAGTGTATTTACAGGATAAGAGTTTTACGCTCGTGGTGTCCTGTCTACCCAGCACTCTTTGTCATATAACGCTTTGAAGCTACTGACAGTTTTGTACATTTAGTGTGTACATTTAGGGGTGATCCTGAGTGACATGGGTTCGAATCCTGGTTGGATCATTCAGAGTTCTTAGTGATTATACAGTATATATATATATATATATATATTTGTGTGTATATTGGCAGCAGGTTTTAATTTAGACATGTTTCATTGAATATCACTTTATATTCCATGTTGATTATTTTCTTGTATAGGGCTTCTTTTCCTCTGACTAGTGCTCCTACATCTTGGTTTAATTGTAAAAGAATTTTTCTAAATGCCATATTTGTTCAAGGTTGACTAAAAGAACAAAAATTAACTGTATAATGTATTATACCTATTATAATATACTCAACATTTTGAATCTACAAGGTTCATTCTCAACTGAGGAGACAGACTAATTGATTGATGAAGATTAAGCCAGCCAAGAGATGGCACAGTTTTGAGTAGCCTGTAAGAGGAGACAGTAGGAAACATCTGATTTATAGCACTGGGAGGTCAGGTATATACAAAATTAAGTTCCGAGAAAGGCAAAAAGAGGTAAAATGAGGTGATGAGTCAATAAACTAAGCATTTAAAGGTAAGTTAGGTGATTAGAACTCAGGTGACTGTAGTTGGCCAGGCATTTTGGGACATGCCAAAATGCCAGCTACCCAATGTCATTGTTACCATGTTTGCATTCCGGTCTTGATCTCACTCTCATGATGTGTAGTGAACTATCAAACATTAGTGACTCAAATACTGGACCTATTCAACCCCTATGCCCTTATCAGTCCCCATGGCATAATGGGAACCCGCCAAACACACACCAAAACTACGACATTGTTACAACGTTTGAACAAGTTTTAACACCTCCTAACCAGTTACAACAACCAATATAGCAAGTTGTAACAATGTTCTAATATGTCATAAACACGTTAAGCCAAGATGTAACAACTTTATTACAAGTTGTAACACGCGGAAAATAGAGACAGTTTCAGTTTGTGTTTCCAGGGAACACACTCAGGTGACCGTAGTTGGCCAGGCATTTTGGGACATGCCAAAATGCCAGCTACCCAACGTCATTGTAACCATGTTTGCATTCCGGTCTTGATCTCACTCTCATGATGTGTAGTGAACTATCACACGTTAGTGACTCAAATACTGGAACTATTCAACCCCTATGCCCTTATCAGTCCTGTGACGATAATCTCTTTCAAGAGAGATTGAGCCTGCTCTTCCCTACAAAGTACGTAACAACAAAAGATAATATAGAAGATACGTCCAGCAAGTATCTCCAAAACGTTTTGCAAAGAGAGCAAAACGTATCCAGCACACCGGCACACCTGCTAGCTACCGCCACCGTAAACCGGCAAACTGCTTGTCCATTGCCTGCCTGTCGTTGATTGGGTGGTGTCTCGTCGCACCTGCCCTCCGCCCTCCGCCACAAGTTGATGTCTGGGCTGCAGTGGCCCAGTATTGTCTGAATATCTCAGTGCTCCTTGCAGTTGACATCTCTCGCTGGTAGACTAAGCCTTGGCTTTCGTGTACTAAGGGAGGTGGCAGCTCGAAGCCAATATTCCAGCTCCATTCATATTTATTTTGCTATCACTGTAACTCACTTGTCTTAACGTAACTTTTCATTTGCCAGTGATTATTCATATTATTTTGTTTGTTGACTTGTCTTTTATATTTTATGCTGAACTTTATTCATGTCTTGTTTTTCTAAAGTAATTAAAATTTCATTGTTAAATTTACTTGTGTTTTGTGTGTCTTCCCATTACCTTACCACAGACGAAAGTTCCAGCTTTTCTCTTTTTTTTTCTCTAATGTGACGAGGCCCTGCCCCTAGCTTTTGAAACAGCCGAACACCAACGCTTTACCGTCACAGTCCCCATGGCATAGTGGCACAGTAACACACTCGTCTCACACTTCACAAGCGATTTGGCCTGGGTTTATATCCTGGCAAGGGAGGATTGACTAGGTGCCAATACTTAACTGTACACCTTTGTTCAACCAGCATTGAACGGATACCTGGTTGTTAAACGATTTGGCAGGTCATATTCCAGGGAAAATTAAGAGTAAGGACCTGCCTAAAATGCTCTACATGTTAGTGGCTTTAAAAGAATTTAAGAACTTTTGTACAGTATATATAAAAAAAAATAAGGGGAGGTTAAGAGCCAAGCAGAACATTTTTTTAATTATTTATATATACAAAAGTTCTTACATTCTTGTACAGCCACTAGCACACATAGCGTTTCGGGCAACATAAGGTAAGAAACCAAGAGGGAGCGGAGGTAAGAAGGCAAGAAGAAGGAAAAGTGAAGAGCCAAGAGGGAGGAGAGGCAAAGAGCCAGGAGAAAGAGAAGGCAAAGAGCCAAGAGGGAGGAGAGGTAAAGAGCCAAATAGAAGGGGAGGTAAAGAGCCAAGTAGAAGGGGTGGTAAGGAGCCAAGAGGAAGGGAAAGTGAAGAGCCAAGTAGAAGGGGTGGTAAGGAGCTAAGAGGGAGAGAAAGTGAAGAGCCAAGAGAGAGAGGAAAAGTGAAGAGCAAAGAGAAAGGGGAGGTAAGGCATCAAGAGTAAGGGTAAATGAAAAGCCAAGAGGGAAGGGGAAGGTTAAGAGCCAAGAGGGAAGGGGAAGGTTAAGAGCCAAGAGGGAAGGGGAAGGTTAAGAGCCAACAGGGAGGTGAGGTGAGGAGCCAACAGGGAGGTGAGGTGAGGAGCCAACAGGGAGGTGAGGTGAGGAGCCAACAGGGAGGTGAGGTGAGGAGCCAACAGGAGAGACGAGGATCCATGCGGAAGAGATGAGGATTCATGAGGAAGAGATGAGGATTCATAAGAGAGTGGAGGTCAAGAGTTTTACCTTAACTTACCTAAAGGGGGAGGGGATGACTGTTAAATGTACAAAAATATTTTGTAGCGTTCCATTAATGTAAATAATTTTCTTGTGTCCAGAAACTGGCAACTTTGTCTTAAGTTTCATAGTTATGAAATACATATTGATTTTTGCTTGAAATGAGTTGGAATGGAGTAGCATGACCTGACACTGGCTACCCAGTAGGTGTATGGTCAAATTATATACTGTACAGGTTTTTTGCATATACAAGAGTTTTTTCAACTTTATAGGTTTAAGCATGGTTATGTTACGTTTGGTTTGGTTACATTTGTTAAGGTTAGGATCGGTTAAGTTAGCTAAGTTTTATAATCTGGTTGCAAGATGATTTATATACGAAATCATGTGATTCCACCCCTTTTAATATTACTTCAGGCGATCTGGAAAAAAGTGAATTTATAGAAGTTCATGTACTTACTTTTCCAGGTCTTCTTTTGAGAAACTGGTGTTTTGTCCGACATATATGTTTGCCATTGCCCATTATGTACTGACACTGGGGTCTTTGATCCTTCGCTTTCAGCATCAATATCTTGATGAGGGGGAGTGTCCCTGTTTATGTTTACATTTACAGATGAGGCAGCCATGATCACTGGCTGACCCGGCAGAAAACGGGAAACAAATCTCTTCCCACGTAAAATATATAGATAAATATTTGCAAATTATTCCATATTTTGCAAGTAAAAAGTAACAAAATGGTTTCAAATATATTTGGAGGCCTATTTATATAATTATATTATAGCAATTTGCTCTTTTTAAGGATGCAGGACTGAACTCACCAACTCTGCCAGAGATGGTTAGGCGTTGCAGCTGGTGAGCAGCAGTATGTGACATCACAGTTGAGGGGACTGTGATTGGCTAACATAGTCATGTTTACAAGTGGCAGGAGTTGCTGGTTGGCTGTAAGGCGTCGTGTTTACACCTCTGCTCTCACTCCAGTGCTGCCAGATTGGGCTACAAATAGCGAATTGGGCTACTTTTGGGAGCCCCGCGCTCCCAAATTTTTAATTTCGCTACTTGCTACTTTCTGGGCTAATTTAAAAGCAAGATATGCTAATTTGGGCTATTAATGTTAAGAATGTACGATTGCGAGTTACATGAAAATAACTAAGCTATAAATAATTGTAATTAATAATAATTGTAAATATTAATTAATACTATATAATATTATTTAATAAATTAGTCCCAATTCAATGCAGAGTTTTCTTCCAAGCACAGAAACTTGTATATATAAATACAAGATAATAGATAGATCGATAAATAAATAGACAACTTTCAAATATTGCACCAAGTAATGGCGAGAGGAAAAAACTAGACAGTATACATTACATTTGAAATTAATAATGGATGAAGGTAATAAATTGGTCTATGTTTGTATGTATACCAGACAAAGTCCATTTAATGGCAGAATTTAACCATTTTGTGTAAAAACTTTTATATCTCTTATTATTAATTATAACAGTAATCGAAAAAAGTCATAGTTCGTATATACAAGAGATGAAACAGAGAGCCATGAGCTAGAGCGATGTGTTGAGTCCATAAAGAAGCCAAGCTTCTAGAAATACCTTCCTGTGATTGGCTGTTGCGGGGAATACCAACACTCTTTTATGAATAAAATTTTAACTAAGAAATAGGTCCTTGTGCACAACAACAAGGTTGTTGTGAAAAATAACAACAATTTCTGTTTTGCACCTGACAGAAATCTTCATCTAACTGAATAATTTACTCGAATAAGAGGGCAGAGCAGTGTATCATTATTTGTGTCAAGGCAACCCCCAATAATAACGTCACAAGTCAGGTAGCCAGCCCATGTTTCTGTAACACTCGTTACATTCTGCAGTATTTAATTATCACTACATTAATATTTTTAAATACTTAACATTTCACTTTTTAGTTAGATTAAAGTTGAAGCAGAATGTCATAAGCAAGGATGGTGTGCTGAATAAAGATGATTTATTAAGTGGATGGAGCCTTTAGCTGATCCCTTCCTGTGATTGGCTGTTGTGTGAATGTCAACAAAGAGTTTCTACCAATGACATGCCATTTATTATGCACCCCATACATCTTGTGGGCGGAGCTTGGAACCTCCTACCCGAGCACAACAACCCGCCTTATGGGTTGCTGTTTGGCTATTTGTAGTGCGTTGGAAAAAAAAGAGATGGCGTTAGTTGTATTTTGTGGGGTAATTTGTTATAAGTGTAATTTGATGTCAACAGATGGCGTAAGCTGTACCTTATGGCCACTGTTGACCAGCCAGTTGATAGTGTTCTCTTCTGCCGACAGATGGCATCAGCTGTGTTATTATTACTTCCGAATTCCCTTTAAACACTGATCCACAAATCCCTTGGCTTATGATAAGGTTTTATACCTTTTATGTTAAGTATTAGATAACTGGAGTTCCGCAATTACTTTTATTTATCAACTATTCAGAATATCATCATATAATGTCTGGTTAGGACGTACTGCTCTCGATTGATGAAGATTAAGCCACCCAAGAGGTGGCACGGGCATGAATAGCCCGTAAATACTGCTTTCGTAATATTATTCAGGAGTGGGGGAACTATCAAGTGAAAGCGCCAAGCCATTACGACTATATAGCACTCGGAAGAGGTCAGGATACGGATTTGGGATGGAACGGGTGAAAGGAATGGTGCCCAACCTCTTGGGCGGTCGGGGATTGAACGCGGACCTGTAGGAAACGAGACCGTCGCTCTACCGTCAAGCCCAAGTGGTTAAGCGTAATATTGTTAAAACAACAATTTTTGCATATAATAACAGCATTTCACACTAAAAATACTTAGATATATTGAAATTTGGTAGTGAATTCCAATCTAAGAATCTCCTATGACTAAACTGTACTTTTTAATCATTTTTATGTACTTACTACTTATTATTAAATTATTAAGTACTTACTATAATAATTAAATAAATTATTGTATTTAATATTTATATTAAATGATAAAATAATAGGTAATAGTAAATCATTGTGTAGGGGGACACAATTATTCTGCTATTGAGTTCAATAGGTTCTTCTCTTCCATTGGGTCATCCCTTGCAAATGATATTCCATCTTCCAGTACTGATGTTAATGACTATCTTACAGGTAGCTATCCACAGTCTCTGTACCTAAAGCCTATTAATTCCACTGACGTCAATGAGATAATCCTTTCCCTTAAAACCAAGTCTAGTGCCCTTGAGGAGATACCAACTTTAATTTACAAAAAAGCCTCCAGAACTTTAGCCCCTGCTATTGCATTGCTCTTCAACAAGTAACTTGAACTCCAAACCTTTCCAGATATCCTAAAAAAAGCGAGAGTTACCCCTTTACACAAATGTGGTGATCTCACAGATGTTAACAACTACAGACCTATATCAATCCTGCCTAACTTGTCAAAAAATTTTGAAAAACTAATCTACAAGCAGCTTTACTCTTATCTAGCCAAACACAATATACTTAGCTCTTGCCAATATGGCTTCAGACCCAAAAAAAGCACTAACGATGCACTTATTAGTATGCTTAACTTGATTCATACAGCTCTTGATAAAAATGAGTTCCCTGTTGGGTTATTTGTGGACCTGCGTAAGGCTTTTGACACTGTCAACCACCAAAACCTTCTTCTTAAATTACATCATTATGGAGTCAGAGGACACTCCCTGCAGTACCTTAAATCCTACCTTACTGACAGGCTCCAGTATGTTTCTATGAATAATTCAATTTCTCCCACCCTACCCATCAACATTGGTGTTCCTCAGGGCAGCATACTTGGCCCTCTCCTCTTTCTCATCTACATTAATGACCTTCCAAATGCCTCCCAACACCTCAAACCAATTCTATTTGCTGACGACACAACCTTCATTTACTCCAGTCCTGACCCCCTTGCTCTAAATGCCACAGTAAATACTGAGCTAAATAAAGTCCATCTTTGGCTAACTGCCAACAAACTCACCCTTAACATTGACAAAACTTTCTATATTCTGTTTGGCAATAAATCCTCTAATCAAATAAATCTCAAAATTAACAATACCCAAATTTGTAACAAATTAGATGGCAAATTCCTTGGCATTCTCATTGACCACAAGCTGAATTTCCAGGGACACATTCTAAATATATCAAAAAAAGTTAAAAAAACTGTTAGCATTCTTTCCAAGATCAGATATTATGTACCCCGCCCTGCCCTGGTGACTCTCTATTACTCCCTCATCTATCCATATCTCAACTATGGTATTTGTGCTTGGGGTTCTACTACCCAAAATCATTTACGTCCTCTAATTACTCAACACAAAGCTGCTATTAGGATAATATCCAACTCTGACCCCAGACATCACTCGGTACCCCCTACTCAAATCTCTGAATATGTTAGATATTAAGTCACTGCACATTCTCTCATGTGTATTATACATATATAAAACGCTGAACTGTAATGCCAATCCTGACCTCAAAAGCTTCATAGAAGGTTGTAACAGAACCCATGAGCACCACACCAGAAATAAATACAGTTTTGATATTCCTAGAGTACAACTTAATCAAACTAGAAATGCTCTACAAATCCAGAATGTGGAATGACCTTCCCAACCATGTTAAAGACTGTATCTCTCTCAACCAGTTTAAGATAAAAACGAAGCTATACCTAATAAATTCCCTGTAACCTACCTTACCCTTCTAATGTCAACCAATGTCTTTTTTTTTAAATGGCGCTGTTTGTCGACAGAATTGTATTTGTGCTCCTTTTTCAGCTGTTCCCCCCTTTTTAATCGCTTTTTTTTTTTCTCAACTCATTTTATTCTTTATGCTCAATTAGTATTAAGCTTTAGTCATTTAAGTTTTTCATGCCCGAAACGCTTTGCGTAATAGTGGCTTTAGGCATTGTATGTACTAGCCCTATCTATAAATCCATCACTCTTTGTAAAATCTCTTGTATGTATGTACCTTACCTAAATAAACATTTGATTTGATTTGATATACCAAGGTGCCACAAAGGTGCCACAAAGGTGCCAAATTAAAGACTGGGAGCTGCCGGGGCGGGCCCAAGGGCTGCTGGCGGCCCTGGCCAGGCTGAACTTCCGCGCCCTTATAATCACCATTGTTTAATAATCTTCACAGGGAGAAACAACTGTAAATATAGGAATAGTTTATTACAACATACACGGTAAAGAAAACAGCTCGGAAACTAAGGAAATAAAGCTGCCGAAAAAACATTAAAGACCACTTGTTATATTAAAAATATAAAATACGAATCAACAACGTTTCACTCGGAGGTACCTGAATTTACCCGAGTGTACCTGAGTTTACCTGAGAGTCACTAACACTAGCGGCCTCGACGAGGACAAGAAGCCGACGGCTTGTCGAAGGTCCCCCTATTTGCCTTGGTAATCTTTTCCAGCTGTACTTTAAAAGTTAGTTTTAGCATTTCCGGCTTCGGCGGGTAGGCGGTTCCATGGGTTAATAACCCTGTGGGTGAAAAAGCATCTCCTGTTGTCAGTCCTACATTTGTGGCTTGTTGAGCTTGAAACCGATGCTCCTTGTTTGTGTTACATCTGACCTTCTGAAGAAATTGTCTG